AGGGTGACCAGTCATAACCTGGACAAAGTAAACTACTGCCCTATCTTCAGCGACAACTAGAAAAGTTAGAGTACTAGAACACCGAAAGAATGCGGGACAATATTTTCGATGCAAAGCATGTGTTCCAAAATAAAGAGAATAAAACTAGCTTTAAGAATTAAAAATCTAATTAATTGTTAAACACAACCAGCAAAATACCCACAGTTCTCCTATTTCCTAACCGACTATGCATATTAGTCTGAGTTTAATAATGCTCTTCAGGAAACGTTCGTTTTAGCGTCTTGCAAGCTTCGTTGCATCTGTAGCTAACATAAAAACTATAACCGTATAATATTGCCAAAAATTTATGGATTTGTTAACGTTATAGATGCTCACGTGACGTTCCTACGACGCCGGATTTCTCTAGTAGTGATTACAACACACTCTGCTACTTCAGCAGACAATTATCTATCTCATCGATGAAATTTTCACGTTTCGGCATCCCTCTACATCAATGATATTCGAAATATCAGAAGCAATATAATACAATACAGTGTAACAGCTGCAATGCGTGCAATGGAAACAGAATTCTCTAATTAACATGCACTGAGTTAAGCAATTCCGACGCTTTTCTTATTTGACATACTTTCGAATTTTACCTTCCCAGCCTTCTGGTCGACTACACAGAGCAAAATTGCTGGCGAATATGCGGCGCATTAAATTAATCCACACCTATAGAACTCCCAGGATGCATTTTGCTACGAGATTGAACGTAAAGAGGCAAGGACAAGAAGGTGCATATATCCGGGGGGAGGGGGGACTCACCGCGCGCAGTTAGTATTTTCTGCTAGGATGAATTCAAAACGATGCTCCTGTGGCCGATGGTCCTTTGCTGCAATTTGTGCTTTCCCCGTTGTTCCACATACATGTAAATCGTAGATTGTTTACTTATTAGGTGTATACCAAAAAACGGGTGGAACAGCACATTGCCAAGTAGGTAATACTTATAGGCGGTGTTATGGCCTTCGTTGCTGGCTCTCTACCCAGCATTTTGAAGGAATTATGCAGCACTCACGAAGCCAGATCTTAATAACGTTGAATTAAAGCGCTATATAGTGACGAAAAATTAGATAAGATGTAATGTGATAATTATGATTAATGAAGTCAATGACGTGAACTAACAAAATAGTGGAAGGCGGGCTACTCGTTTGTCACCTACGATATATACAATTTTGCTCTTGGTGCGACACACCGTAGATACTGCTACGTTTCTTCAGATGATCCGATTTCACATTATTGGCGATCACATCACTTCGTAATCACATTGTATCATCGCGGAACGCCTAATTGCCTACTTTATTTATTGCGCTTGTGTGTTTAGCAAAAGGCCGGAGTAGCGACAACAATAATGAGACTAAATGATTAGACACATGAGCGGAAAATACAAGGGGTGGGTGGATCTTAGTCGCTCTGTATTTCCATAGGAGCTCAGCAGCATTTTTAGGTACCGACAGCGGTAGACATCATCAGGGCAGCCACCCAAAGCAGGCGACTGCCAGAGACACTATGGCCACCCGGATGCGCGCGCAGCCCAAACAAACCCCCGGCCTCAGGCCCTTTGGTCCGTCAGTCCCCAGAAGATCCAAGGCCACCTCCCTCGGCGCCCTTCCCATTCCTCCAATCTCTCAACCCCTAAACGAACCTGCGCCTTCTCCATACTGGAATCCACATTACTAGTTCCCTCCTTCGACTCCTAGAAAAAGCATTGGCGTCGAAGAAATTAATAAAACAAAGGTTTTAAAATTGAGCTGGCCGCGAAAAGAAGACAATGGAAGATACCACGACGTAATTTTACGCACAAATAGTAAGAGTAAAAGGAAACAGTTGTGGTTTTATACAATTCTTTTATAATTCAGTACGCATGAATCCAAATCTCTTTCAAAAAAATTGCACGCAAATTAAGCAGTGATAGCGGTAGCCATTGCCTGCAGTAACGAAGCTCGATCGCGCCTAAATGCCTCCACGATAAGTGACCAATATCAGAAAAAATACACACATTCTCTATCTACTCCTTTCGAAATTTCGCGAACTATCGATAGTTCAAATTCCAATCATGCTGTAACTATTAAGTTTTTTATCTAATGTAATAAAAGCACATTTTTTAATTTAAAGCAATTTACCAACACCAAAAGCATTAAAAGTTTTGTTTTTTTTCTAAACATGAGCATTCAAGCTAGAGTACAATACGTCCTCTAAAAGCAAACAAGTTCATTCTCAAAGAAGGACAAGATAGTATACCACAACTCATCTTTTAGTATGTATGTCTTAGTGAAGCTATTATCGTCAGCAAATCAACTTTTCGTGTAAGGAAGTAGAAAAACCCAAAAAACGTTGATATTTGGATGTTGTATAGTTAGATACGGGATTAGCTGAATGAAAGCTTACGATTATGAAGGAAAACTTTTTGAAGATTTGGCGAATAGATCTTTGATTATTCTTATAAAAAGAGCTATACTTCGCAACGCACCGTTTTGTTCAATATCCTAATTAGCATCGCCAACACATAGCAAAGAGTACATTATTTAGATAAAATATGTCAAATTCGAGGTTTAAAGGAAGGTATCAGGTTTTAACAAACGTAACACCCAACAGTCATGTAGACCATCAAAATACAGCTTCTCTGTTAGAAACTAATATACTATTACTCGTTCATTTTAGTAGAATAACATACTTTTAATATATGGACTTGTTGCTACCATAGCGTTACTGTGATGTTTGAACATTTGAAATCAAACAAGTGTTTTTTTATACCTCCTTCACTATTGTATATATCGAAAATCCGTACAATCCCTTTCAGAATGCATAAAAATCTTGTTGAGCCACTGAAGACTTAAAGAGGAGCTAGACACTGTAAAAGTCTACAGTTAAAATTGGTACTAAACTCCAGATTTGGCCCAAAAGATTGGAATATAAGGAAACATTATTCATAGGCTAGGGTTTCATATAAAGGAGACTCCACCAGGTTTTTACAAGTCCAAAGTTGCCGTTTTAATCCTTCTTATATCCACACGTTCGATTCTTTTTGCATGAAATAGACCAAAGTTACTTTAAAGGCTACCCTGTCAATTTTCAAAATGTAATGTATGGGGAATAGTGATTGTAAGAGTGTCCAGAATCAACAATTTTTTCGGAATATTTCAACATGACTTTTGACTCTTTTGTGTGCACTCCTTTAACGTAGCTTCAAACTTGCATATGTATCAGTTCTTGCTAAATACGCTTTGAAAACAAGCAGCCTTCAGCAGTAGTTTTTGCGAATAGTTTTCGCCTACAAATAATGATCTGAGGAACTAAAAACGGACACCGACGAAGGGGGTGATAATGACCCACAGAAAAATTGTACTTATGTAGCAGGGTCGCTTACGTTAGTATTATTCGACGTACCTCATAACGTTTAAACGGTCTGTGCAACGTGATCAAAAGGTAAGCACAATATTAATTTTTTGACTTCAAACAAATCACATCAATAGAATCTGTCATAAGTGACTCATCTAGTAAATCTCATAGTAGAACATGTTAAAAGATCAGTAAGTTAAACCGATGTTAGAATATTAATGTGGAAGAAGCAAGTTTCATGTTCATAGTTCTACATTGAAAAAATTCACATAACAGTGTTACATATTAACGGCCAGGTAATTTTGGAAGGGTTACTGGTCGCTTAGCTCCTAACTCTTTTTGTACCGTTTTGGCAAACCACGTTTTGTCGATATTTGCGCATCCGCAAAAATCGTTGATACGTTTTTAAGCAAACAGTTAAGGTGCCGGAATAATATAGAAGATAAAAAAAATGTGAAAAAAGGCATACTTTTTAAACGATAAGTGGTGATGCATGGAAAAAGTTGAAATGCTGACTCGAAATATAATATGGAAAAGATGCATTTTTCTTTTATAAATATGACGTCACTAACAAGCAGCAATACTAATATTTAGTCACTAATATTTAAAAAATACTTAATATTTAGAACACCACAAGAGATTCGCCACTACATTTATTATAAGATAGCAATAATAGTAAGTTCGTAAAGAAAAAATAAATAACAATGCATATTGGAATATATCCGACCAGATATGTCGGTATATGTATCGTTTATGACCTATAGATTAACTTTAAAAAGACAAGACATAGCATTTTTTCGGTAGCTAAAAATATCAACTATATTAACGCGTTGTGTATAACCATGCCTAAAGAAACCGTAAACAACAACGATTAGCTGACCATAACATATATCTATAATACATGGACTTACAGTGCGAAAAATGATACATCGAACTGATATAATATTCTACACCTTTATAGAGCCATTTGTATGATACAAAGAGGGTACTTTTAATTCAATATTTTTTAGTCAGGTAGCCAATATGGTCAGACATATAAAAATAAAATGAGGCTTCTTTGAAGCTAGCCTAGATCCGTCATATTCACTAACATTGTTTTGGAGAAATACCAGTTTATTACACAGTTCTCAGTATGCCAACTCCCTTGAACAACAATACTGGGTGTGTTCTTCTAGAAAAGCTTGAAAGAAAGCTAGAAGCAGAAAGATAAATGAGTTAATGAACAGGATGAAAACGACAATTGTGGAGCGCTTTCTTCATCAATAGAGAACGTAGTATTCGAGTTAATTACAATCATAGCTCTTTGAAACAGTAGTTTATTTAATATGAGAGAAAACATAGAAACCTGAAAGAAATACCTTCGCGTTTGGTATTTACATTTACATGAATGTTTGTAAAAAAAAATATGCCATATTCGAAGATAATAAAAACCAGGCTCCCATAATATCGCCAATAAGTCTTTCAACATGGACACAGTCCTGCAGAAAAACCTCTGGATCCGTTGTCTGCATGATTGAGTAAAATTAATGATTTTACCTTAGCAATAATGACACAGTATATAAACGTACATGTAACTTTATCTGATATAAATTATGGCATATTTCTATAGACTGTTAGAGACTTACCAGACCAGCGGTGGGACCATCTGTGACAACATCGGAAACCGTTGGTAGTCCATCACCCCGATGTCGAATCCGGAATCCGAACCCGTTCAGGGAGTTTGATCTTCGAAGTCGAACTTCGACCACCATCCTTGGAATGGACTCGGACGTAACAACTTTGCTGCACGGCTGGAACTCCACGCTGAGTTTCGTCACAGTTCTGCTTAAGAACAAAAATCTGCTTATTGACAACGCATTTGGCGCTGACTTTTAAACGTGAAAACCACCCTTTTGCATAGAATTCCTTTTCCACAAACGGCCAGTCCTCACTCACCACATTGTACGCCAACAGCTCTCGAAACATTAATAAAGCCCATCGCACAGAAAACTTAGCTCCTGTTTACATAGGAGTAAACTGTAGCCATACAAGCTAACCAAAACTAAAAAAAATCACAGTACCACAAAAAAGCAGGTGCATTAACGCAATTTCTTTTCAGTTAGATGACATGCCGATTATTCTATATCTTAGAAGTATTCTTTTAAAGTGTTGATGATGTTGCTTCTGGTGATGGTGTTACGTGTTGACTTCCCTCCTCTCCATTGCCATACTGCACTCGCACTCTGGACTTCGTTGCCCCCCGACCACGAAGAGGCAGTGAGGGTGGTAGCGGCGGCAAGCGGTTCACGAGTATTCTGTTAATCCGTCCGGCCGAACAAACAACAGTAGCAGCGGCCGGCGCTCAGCAAAAACAGAACCCAGGAATCAACAGTCGTATTGCTGTTAGGGGAAGAGCGAAGTGTGTGTCCTGTTACTGTTCTGTTAAAAATGCTTTCAACAGAGTTTCGTTCATGACATTCCGTTGTTTAAGCCTTATTCAACAGAACAAACTAGATGGTACTAGGTCGCACGTCGATTCAGCGCTGTGTATTCATCCCTACATAGTAACAATAGCAATAGAGGAAGAGAATATTAAAGTAGATGTGTTATCAAAAATATAGAAATTCTGTTGTATCAGTATTTAAATAGTGTGACCCTTGAGATGCGCAGGCTTCCATGGCTATACGGCAGACTCGCAAATCGAGGGTACGCGCGGAACACGGGACTTAACAGGTAAATTCCATCACGCTCTCTCACATACAGATGTAGTAGTATGAATTTATTGCATATCCGTTTATTTTTTATGCGAGCGGAATATTCTAAAATCAAAATAAAACGGGAAAGGTTTATAGTGTTGTGTGAATAATAACTGGTTTTTTAAATTACCCATTAGATTACCTACATAATCATCGACAGCAAGATCGTTAATTACTTTCGCTTGTAATGCTAATTGCTAGCGAACTCCGCGCCAACCTATAATTTTTTACATTCAGTTACGAATCTACCGGATTGAATAACAAATTAATTATGAAGCTATTTCAACCCATATCCAGTGATAGCCTCAATAAGATATGTTAACGATCATAACGGCTGTTCTGTGAAAGAGTGCGTGCTTGTGGAGATGAGGAGGAATATCGAAAATATTGAACTTATTATTGACATATTCAGTACTGTGCTATACTGTGTGGAAGCGATGTCCTTGTCTTATTTATATATAAACTAGAAACAGAAACGACAAGAATACGCCGCATTTAGGCGTTCACAAGAAGTAGCTAAGTGCAATGATGAAAAAAGCTAACAACGGTACCATCATTAGCTTGCCGTCACGAATGTGCATGAATAGGCGTAAATAAATGTAAGTTATTACAGTGAGCACTCTTAACTTTCGAAAGCACTAGAATGAAATTTAATGAGGTAGTCCCGCAAATATGGATAAATGATCATACATACAGAGACTACAAGAACAAGAAAATATGTTAAAAATACAGGTTTAGAACTTAACGACGCCTAGAAGCAGATGCGCCACATCTGTTATGCGGCGGTTGTTTAAGAGGAATCACATCGAAAATGGTAAATCTGCAGACTTTTCAATGTTTACAACCTGAGGTATTCAGCATAAAATGTTTTGTCCAGAATGAAGTTCCTTAATACATACATATTTCTAAAAAACGGGGGCATACCTACAACGCTCCTTGAAATCGTCGTCGTAGATCATATAAAATGTCGTGTCCAACAAATTTAATAGAGAATTACGATGCAAAAGTCACGATAGTGTAAAGTGACAAAAGTATGTCCATATAGCCAGTGGATAAGATACATATTGGAGATGGTAGAATCATTTCAAAAGCCGGCGGACCTATGGATGATCAATAAACCATTAATTTAGGAAAACTATTTTCTTCATTTCACATTATATTATATAAGATTCATTTAAAAGCGAAATTTTCGAAATTACCCGCTTAAATATAAACATTGGATTTTTCAAATGTCATCAATCCTTGTTTATGAAATTTTCAGCAACGATTTCGCGAAGGAAATTTTTTGTGAGACTATGCCTCGATAGTGAACACTGTTATAAAGCTATATTAGAATGCTTTTGAAGGTTAAATTTGTCATATCGATCCAAAAATATGTTTATTATTTTAGTTAAATCGTTAATTTGTCATATGGGCATATTAAAGACTATCATTTTTGTTCAATAAATCATACAAGTTATTGTATTTGAAACTTTTGTGATCGTGTTCTGGGGCACTACTTTGTTAATTTGAATCAACTCACTTTATTTATCTTAACTTAGTTTAGTTCGTTATTAATTCATTAAGAAATTGCAGAGTTACGGCTACGAGTCTTTAGGCTGTCGTGGGCACTAAGTGTGCTCATTTTAAACATGTATATATAATTTTTACCTATTAGCATGGCTGCGAAAAAGTTACCAAATTGTTGGATCTAATGTATATATGCTATGGTTCCTTTGTACTGGTCAAGATACTATACGCGACTGACAAGAAAAATTCGTTTTATCTGAGTATACCAAAGATTCTGCGTTTCCCACTGACAGTAATACACAAGAAGCAAGTAATTGTAGTAGACTTTAAATTCTAACTAAAATTCATCTGTCACGAATAAATTCTCCAATGACGAAATCATTTTCTAACAGAATTTTTTTCCAAACTACCTGCCAATTTTATTCCTTAAGATTCTTTTTGCAATATTATTAAGGTTCCTGAAATGTTACCTCTCGTATTACAATTATGATATTTTTAACCAATTACCAGGTTTTGTAATAAAAAGTGAAGAAACCTATAAGTATCTATTAATGTGTCTTTTTGGCTATATTTCTATGTATTTGACCTGTATGATGGTCTCAATATATAATCTAAGATATCTCGACGCATTTCTGAAAATGTTAATTACTGTACTATTCTACAAAACAGCTAACTGCAAGGCAAGCTTGCGTTATATTGATATGCGGCATACATATAACCTGGACGAAATAATAATAATAATCTGAACAAGTAACTATTTTTGAAATCAATGCTTTACAGCTATCGAGACGCTCACACAGAACGTACGCAGTGCCGTATTTTAGACGGACGTAGCGTGGCGCACGTTAGGGAAGATGCGCTTCGCCACCACGTGGAGACCGCTAAACCTACACCTAGTTTGGCCGTTTTACTTGTCGGTCATAATCCCGCCTCTGAGGTTTACGTTCGAAACAAACGAATGGCATGCGCTCGAGTTGGTATCAACTTTTATCTAGTGCGAATGAATGATTCCGTTCGGCAAGAAGAGCTGATACATGAAATTCATCGCCTTAACGAAGTGAGCAGTAGACCAATGATAAATATAATATTCTTTCTGGTCGTTTTTTTTTTTCGGAGTTACCGTGTCAGGTATTATTTAACATTTTCGGCGACATCTGTAGAATATTATAATCTATCAGAGTTTCCTGGTAATCCAATCTGATAATTAACAGTTTCGTGATCTTTTTTTTTGCAAGCACTGAAGCTTCGCTGAATTGAGATTAGTTGGAAGTCATAATAGCTATTAATTTTTTGGGGCACGATAGGGATTGTTTCAACTATATGATGGTTAGATACTGTAGTGATAGTCACGCTGATTTAATATGTTTGCCCGCTGAGAATTGGTACCAAAGACTAATAATTTAAAAAAATGACCGTCCTCACCGACGATTTAAACTTATCATATAATCACTTTGAGCACTGTTAGCTAACTACCTTACTCTCGCGCTTTGTATTGTTTTTTACTATGATCACGTCCTTTAATTAAATGTGAGAATAATCAACGTGATTTTTTTTTGTATCGTCTACCACCTTAGTTCTACTGTACTACAACATATGATGTCAGTATTATATATTACTAAAAGGTTCTAGCTAAAAGAGAAGAATATATTAATTCAACAATAAATGATGTTTAAAATTTAATGAGTTCAGAGAAATATGAACTGTATGAGGTTTTTCTCAAAATTGGGATTTAAAAATGCTACTGTGATCAACATTAATAATTGTGATTGATAATTTAAAAAACAATCCCAGGTACTGTTAAAATTTGTTGAAAACCTCTTGACTACAACGTTGCTGCGGGCCTTAGAATAGGCTCAACTACTCATGAGTTCTGTAATGAATATAATTGTCAATAGCAATTCATCTTATGACTATATCTGAGTAGCTTAAATTTCATTGCATTTTTCACCTGTAACATTCAAAATCAATCTTCGTCGGATCTCGGAACACATTAACTGCAGGGCGTTGAATGATTTTAGCGCAAAATTACAAAATTAAAAAGCACTCTATTTAGAATGAATCCAAAATGCCACTAATGGAAAAGCGGAAGACAGCAATTTAGTTAGCAATTAGGTTTCTCGAGCATTTTGCTAGCGGTCGAGAAATAAAGCGAGACAGGCTTCGTTAGTAAGTTATTTGAATTGATCTTTAATAAACTCAATCTATCTCCAGACCAGCTAAAATCTATTTGGAGATGAATTACTTTATACGCTAAAACATAAAATATATTCAAGTTCTGGATTCTGTAGTTTCTGGCTGTCCATATATAACTAAGCAACAGCTATTTTCATGAAGCACCCTTCAGCTGTGTATTGTGTCATGCAAACCGATTTAATTCATCTTCCTATTGCATTCCAGGATCCGTTAATCCATGGCATGATCATACAGTTGCCTTTGCCAGAAACAATGGACGCGAATCAGGTGTGTAGCAAAGTTTCGCCTTTAAAAGATGTCGACTGTTTCACTCCGGAGAATGTCGGCAAGTTGTGCCATGGAAATCCCTTATTTGTTCCCTGCGCTCCAAAAGCTGTGCTTACTTTGTTGGAAGAAGCAAAGATAACACTAGAAGGTAGGGTCGGAATTATTTCAGAAAGGCCCAACTTTAACCCATATAGCTGCTTGAGTTCGAATTAATTAATCTTATTAGAATATAAATTAAATAACATATCATTCATGTTAGCTCGAACATATAGTGAAAGAAGCTTAAAATCCGAAGCTATCATTGTCTGTCAGCTGAATTAAATTAGTTATCAGAAAAGTTAAATGCATTTGTTATGGCTTCATTTGCAGAAATGTTTGAGGTTTCATGTGAAAATGTCTGTTGACAACTCTTGAGAACTGCAATCTAGCAAAACTGTTTTTGGCAGATATATTCTACTAGAGTACTGAAGTGGTATTACTTGGCTTTTCAGGTACAAATACACTGGTGATAGGCCGCTCGAAGATCGTTGGGCAGCCTCTGTCGATAATGCTGGGACACAGAGGGGCTACCGTAACTGTAGCGCATTCGCTCACGCCTCCTGAAACGTTGGCCAATCTGTGCCGTTGGGCTGACTTAATCGTGAGCGCTGCAGGAGTACCACACCTTGTGCGTGGCGGAATGGTACGATCAGGCGCTGTCGTCATTGACGTCGGAATAAATCGATTGCCCAAAGGTGGAATTGTGGGAGACGTACACTTCGAGGGTAAGTATAGCTTGATGTCTAAAAGTAATGAGAATGTCTCGGTAACGCAAATACTTCGATCATTTTTAAGGAGACAACTAAAATATAACTTCAAGGTAGCACGTTCGGTGTTTAAATTGCCGCAGTGAATATTAGTTTTCTGCAGCGCTATATCATGCTTTTTAAGCTGTGTTTTTACTATGAAAGGACGTTCTCAGTAAATTAGAAAGCTTATAATGACGTGTAGAACAGCCATGACAGCAATTGTCTCGGATTATGGAGTGCAATAGCTAAATTAAGTTACGTGTGCAAACATTTGTCGACTCGAAAGAAACGCTTCTATTTAAATAGTACCGATTTTATCTACGGTTCAATGATGGACTTACGTGCTGCATTTTATTCGGGATTATGCAAGCTTGTTTTGTTCACAGTTGCGAGGTTCTAGATAGAGGTTCTAAAACGCTTAACAGGGATCCTGCGTTTTAATCAGGTCCTAATTGACGATGGAATAGGTTATTATCCAATATCTGCGCGCTAGATCTATCTCGAGTAAGATAATAAAATTATTGAAAAACCCAAAGCCGACCGTGTACGGCATTGAAAGTAAGTACGCGGTTGCAGAAGAAGCAAAAGTGGATTTCAGGACAGCTCAACGGAAATTCCACGGCAGATAAAAACGGTGCGGAATATAACGTTAATCAACATCGTCCAAATACGCTGCTGACTATCGTTCTGTTTCGATTGGGTTGTTGACAAAGAAATTTCGTATGAGTGTGGCTACCGTGTCCGAAACAGCTCACAGGTATACGTCATACTTTGTAATACAAAATTAGAGGATCTGTTCCGTGTGATTAAAAATGTTTATATTCAATGTAAAATGCAAGTGTAGAAATGAGAGTTGTTTTGCTTATTACTCATAGGGTGTGTTTATTATGCATAAAAGTGATTTTCTGGTCAATGTCTGTTCTGAGTGAAGGACCATACTTCATGCTACCATATTTCTTCAGGAGAAGCAAACTTATCACCAAAGAAGCTTGTCTGAGTGCTTCATAAACTGTCGTAAAATTGCGGATAGCTAAAATGTATCTTTTTTTTAGAAGGGTAATGCAGTAGCTCACACTGGTCGGTTGGTGCAATAATAATTGCTAGAAGACATGAACAGGTTATGAAATCAGCACTCCACAGGCGCTATACAGCCATATTTGGATCCGCTGGATCACCACGTATGGATACGTTACTGGGCGATGGTCCTCAACATGACGTTTACTTACACTATTAGAAAAGCGTTCGCACATTCGTAAAAGGAACATTTAACGCGAATCTCTGAGCGGTTTAGATCTCAGATCTATATTTTAATCGCGTTCGATGGAGTTTATGTTGAATAAACATGACCGTTTAGAATAGCCTTTAGCAAAGTACGAATTAATTCCGACTTCCGTGCATTTAGGCACAGTGGTCAATTCAGATTAGGTTTTTTTCTCATGAATTCTCTCTAAAATTGTATTAGGTCGAGAACAGGTATTTTAATAAAGTTCCCTGCATGTGTCATTCCTGATGATCATCTTGAGTCGGCATAACTTTTCGTCATCTTGATTATAGCTTCAGTTTAGACCTCACACGTTTCTCCTGCAATCCATAAATGCTTTCCTGATAGCACAAGTGGTCGCGTCGATGTTATTATGTCGAGACTTTCATAGGCCCTTGCTCAATCGTACTCCACAAGGGGTCTCGCAAGGGTCACATCTATACTGTATGATGGTCATACGTGTTGATTCCAGAATATGCTCATAGGCTCAAGAAGCTAGTTCCAGTATAAACTGGTGAGCCGTCTTGCTGAAAGACCTATAATTTTTCTTTACAAACTTCAGCTATTAACACAGCAGTTTCTAGAATAGGCACATAGACTTCTTCAGCGATCTTCACGAAACACCACATTCTGAACCTGGATTTTGGTTAGAAATATGATTTTACCCACGATAAGCTTATCCTCTACATCGTAAACGAGCCTCGCTTCTACGGTTGATCTTTGCATTATTTACATTTATGACATTATTATATCAAAACAAACCAATCAGGTCAAAAGACAACCCGATGCTTAACTCTTGAAAGAGCAAACGACACCGATAAACTTCTTGGCTGTGTCTTTTGAGGGTATCGGTTTGATTTCTTATGGTATATAATGTATACCCGATGTCTTTGTGAACAATTAATGACGTGATATGTATATTAACAGGAATTTTCTTCGTGAACAATCGGTTCAAACATCGAAAGATTATCAGTAGCGATAGTGTCGATGAACTCCAGAGCCAGTGCTCGTTTTGTTATGGATTTTCCATTTTTTGGTGTATTAGAGCCTATTTCTACTGCAGCCGCATGATTATTTCGGATAGATTTGAAGTAACCGTAGGCGAAGCATAGGAAATAGGCAACTGGTAGATAAGTATAGCTTATTTTCACTTTGGGAAGCCATTGATAGAGAAATCATATATGAGAACACGAATGGTAAATGCGTGGCTGTTCATAACTGTTTGGCTTCAGCGCATGTATATAAAGTGCATACTTTTTTCTATCCATTGTTTTCTATTTATTTCACAGAGGTACGTCAAAAGGCGTCCGTTCTAACACCAGTCCCAGGCGGCGTTGGTCCATTGACGGTTGTGTCCTTGCTCGAGAATACATTTCTCGCTTACGAGCTGCAAAGCTTCTAAGCTGGGAATCTTCTAGTGAGGAAGTGTACATATTGGTGTGGTGATGCGTTTTTATTATATTGTTATGACGTGTAAATTGTAAATAAAATCTGTGTTGGATTGTACTATAATCATGTCACAGCATATTATCATTTTGATTTGACAACCTTGCAGGTAGGAAACAATACTCTGAAACAGCAATATTTCGCCATGCGAATGAAGTGACCATAAGCAAGAACAATTGTACACACATTTGATATGCAAGCGAGTGTTTCTTGATTCAGAGGCAGGTAGTCATCTACGTTAGTGGTAGTCATGCTTGTGCGGGTACAACGTATTCAACTGTGAAGTTCATAAACACCCTAAATTATATCCGAACATACTAGTAGGCTATTGCAGAAGTCCATTGGCCATGTATGCCGGTACTCCACTTTTTCTATCTAATCTAAGTGCGTCCTAATCTGCTTCGGTCCTACCCTAGAGTGAATCGTTTGCAGTAGTCGGATGAGTGGTGACCCTAAACCGCGATGATAAATGATAAGTACCCCGGAAAAACGCCTGACAATGTGTAAATGTAATGTTTTTGATCCTTGGTGACCTTCGCTCATTTAGGCTAGGCTGCAGCTTTGAAAATGTTGTTAGAGAAGGAATTATTTTTCGTGTGCTCGTTCTAATGAGAGGGAACCCAAAGGTCACTCACCATGGAACGGAAATGCTAGTAAGCATTTTTATACCAAGCGTCAGTACAATTCCGTATGAGTGTTTGAAATACATGAACGTTGCTATTAGATAAGTCTCGCGTTCGCCCACAAAGGAAGCGGAAAAGATGCTGTCTGTCCGGTAGTATTGAGAAATGATGGTTGGAAAGGAGAGCGAGTCTCAACGTACTTCAACATCGTGACTAGGGACAAGTCAAACACACACTAGGTTGAGTCAAAAAACAAGTCCGATGACAAGTTATAAGCCTCAATTGATTTTTGCAGAACTGGTCTAACATAATAAGTAATCATTGAGGGTGATCTTCTATCCATTCCCTTCCAGCATCTGTATTACCGGCATCCACTGTTAGTTAACTAATGCGCTCCGACTAAAACGCAAAGAGTAGTTTTTTCATAGCGAACGTACGAGTAGGCGGATTTGCACTAAGAACTTTAAGCTTTACAGTGCCAACGAAGGTGGAGCCTGTTACCCTGGTTTGTCGTGTCTTGACAGCCTTTGAAGCCAAACCTTTGAAATGGTCCGTTTTAATAAGGATATACACAATTTGAACAACAATGAGCTTTTATCTAATTTTCATATTCTAGACGTACTACCAAGATAAAAATTCATTTTCGCCCTAAAATCGACGGCTTACGTTATTGCTAGTCATTGGGCTTCTAAAAAAAGATCTTAGGAAGATCTTCATTGGGTAAAGTGAAAAATCGATCGATTTAAAGGGTTCAAAAGTGAATTATAATGGTTTCCAAAATTATATGTTGTACACTTAGACTTTAGATATGGAAATCAATGTTCGTTTTAGAATGAAAAGTATTTATTGTCAATCGGCTCGTCCAGATAAGCTCTATCGATTAGTCGTTTTGAGACTTCTTGCAACCTTTTTGCACCTTTTAGCAAAATTTAACTTGAATCTTTTGCATTCAGCGTATTTGAGCGACATTTCAGTCAGTTGATACGTATTAAAACCGTTTGACGCACGGTTACTGTTAAAAAGTAATTCGCAGATCAAAGAAGGAATACTAGTGAGTGCTTAAGAGGCCGAGTTAAAGCCGTAATCGTTATGTTAAGTAGTTACATTCATAATCAACACGACTATTAAGTGTGACGCTTCTAAAAGATGCAAAATTTCGTTAAAATATTTTTTCATTGGTGGTTATTTTATTAACTTAAGTGCCGCACTCACTATATATCTGAGATCTAGTCCAAATTTCATATTTTTTCTTTTAACCTTCTAACCACTTTTTAACCAATTTAACCTTCTAAGCACAACTGACAGAGACGTGCACAAGCACAAGATACAGTGTAGTAACAACATGAAGTTATCTGTACAACACTTTATTAAGTTTATATATATATTCATTGAAAATTTCATTTAATAATCTTCGAATAGAGTGAACAACAGTATTCGACCGCGGATAGGCATTTTACGCATTTTGTCTTCTACGTTGTATCGTCATCACATATTTTTCCACCTTGTATCATGTAAGTACAATCATTCCTAAACAATTTTTATAATTATTCAATTATAATAGCGTAGTTGGTTCCTTGAATCATACCGTCGGGTCACAGCAGTAGGTACACAGCGTCCTTTTCCTCGCGCTTAAAAATTATTATTAGTATACGATGGGACGTTATATATTTGCATTTCCTTGTCTGCTTTGCGCGATTAGGTGTCGTCGTCACATTTACGGGATCATCTAATAAATGAATTGCGACCCATCTTGCTAAATATTTTATGTCGGACTAAATACTTCATTCCACACTTCTCAACAAAAATGATTAAGTGTAAGTATCATCATTAGAACAGTAGTATCAGTATATGGGCTGGCTTCACTCAACGTATTTATTACTGTGTGATTTGGAAATGTTTAGCGTAGTTGACATGATATATATCATCAATGAATAACAATCTTCGATTTCGTTCTTCTTTTTTATACAAGTATGACTGCGACCAAATAACATCATGAATTACGGACTTTTGATTTTTTTTTTTATCTGTTTTGTTCACAATGACTTCTCCATTCGTGTCTTTCCTAACAGAATTAGGGTAAATATTGGCGAGAACCAGTTGTGTTGTCCATTGACTCTCACAATCGTCCGGACGTACCAGCGGTCGGAATGTACTGATACCTAAATACTTGTTTTTACGCATTTGCTTCTTCCAATTGTCACGCTTTATTTTTATTATTATGGTATTTCTTTCCCTTTTAGATGCTATATTTCTCTTACTGTATATATATATATATATATGTGTATACATTTTTCAAACTCGATTGATGTGGTAATTTGACTTTAATAACTACCTAAAATTAAACCGAAATAGCCGGCTTCCGGGTGCACCTGAAGTTACCGAATAGAAGTACGAATGTCCTTATTTGCGTCCGTCTATAAGCTACTTGTCTTTATTTTAATGCACTGGCTATTGGTGCTACTGCGGTTAATTATGGCCCTATACCATTCTAAGTGACATCTCCTTACTTTCGACGCAATAGACTCCTAGTATCTTAATGGCGTGGCAATTATTCTAAACAGACTTCCTACTCAGATTTGTAAATTCTACAACAAAAACCGAGGATTTTTCCGGCTGAATACCCCATAATATGCGGTACTAATCGCTACTGTCGGCGAAAAGGACCTTCAAGAGTATGGCCCCCAATAGTTCTTTGTAGTTTTCGTTTCGCCTTCTCCTTCTAATTTGCAAAGCTCTGCCTCCTTCAGTTTAACGCATATTTTATTGCCACATTGATGCAGCAGATAATTCTTACCATCTTATTCGAATCCTGTTATGTTGTAAATTGAGGTTCAACGATGGTGGTTATGGTGTGTAACTGAAGCAGGACATCTAGCAGACCCTGTGCAACCAGAAAGCGCAGCCAAGCGATTGCTTAAAGAACTAGCCGCAGCTTTCAGGCCACTGACTGCTGGCCTTCAGCGACGCCTGTCGTGTAAGTTTTCTAGAATATACCAATGTCAACCAGGAATACGCAGCCATGGTAGCCTTACAGGCGGTTCCTTTTTTGCAGGCGATGGAGGATAAATAATGGATTACCATAGTTTGCTGCCGCCTCTTAGTTTCATATTATATTACATTGCTCGACCTTGGCTACGCGACGAAAACACACGGGTAACCATATCCTCAGTTCGAACAGGAGCTTTTAATTTACTATTTTTGGGCCTCTCAGGAGGTGCTTGAACCTGTACTCAAAGGAGTAATGATCGCGGGACATTTTACTATTTACTAGAATTTCCTACATTTGCTGAGACTTATTCACTCAGAGTCTATACCCAATAAAATTCCGGAGAGCTTCCCGTTTGGAGTTTCAATAGCCTAAGAGAAAGACTTTTATTTTCACACGAGTTTTGTTAGCTGATGGTTGCAAAGAATGCCCCGCAGTGTTACCGCCTTCCAAGGATGTATCTCCGCTTCTGCCTTTTGCTACGTACCAGAAGGTGGTCGCAACAACGAAGTCAGTCCCCAGAGAATTGTTATGAAATACCTCAAACGGCTTCCATTTGGGTCCGCAGTCTAGCTCTATTAATGTTGCTGCGCATCCCAGGGATCACTATCAACTTGTGATAATGCGTCCTACAAACTAACAACGGCAAAACTGTTTCTTTCAATTTTTATTACAGCGCTTTCTTGTGTGTCAGATATGATCTTATTATAACGACGGCATACTCGGGATAAAGTATAGCGATCTGTAGCATAACATATGGCCGTACACTGGTATTGCCTTTTTTGGTTTATATTCGTGAATAAGTGGCTCTAGTTATTATGAATTGAAACTATAAACACATCTTCTTCACATGAAAACTATTGATAGGAACTGTGCAGGGATAGCCTACTTCGTATAACACTTGAGACAAAAGCGAGCTTATGGCGGAGCTTGTTCGTTTACAACAGGGAAAGGTACTCATTCAACGATTTTTAACTGCACGTGCATGACAATATTGTAATGCACGATCTGAATGCACACAACAATTCTCGGGGATATCATACAACTAATCTAACAATGATTAATCGGCTAGCAATTAGTAAAAATAGCTAGCCATCAAAACATCGCTAACGTGTATCAATAACCCCTTATAGGAACTGTTCAGGAGTAACTGTCGAAAACTCTGCTTTTTCCGCTAACGTTTTTGTTAGGGCTGAAAATTGCAGGTTTACTTCTGGAAAGGTTTCGTTTTTCGATTAACATATATACCGGGCAAAAAGCCACAGTGTTTGGTCTGATTAAAAGAGCCGTAGTCAGTAAACAGCTTAGTACTGGAGGCAAGGCCTTGTGCTTGAAAATTTAATGCTTTTTCTCTCTACCACCGTGGAAACTGCTCCAAAAAGTTAATGCTTTGGGACAAAATTCGTTATGAGCTGAAGGACTTTTCCATTTCCTACATGGGGGCTTGACT